ACACTGAAAATGTGCACACTAGCAGGTTTTGAAGGTGTAAACAGCATCTAAAATAAGGATTTTTTTTTCCTGTATGTTAATAATTAACATAATAATCAGTAATAAATTTAAAGTGTAGCAAGAAAACATTTTCTAACATAAAGACAGCGAATCACTAGAACAAACTCCCCAAGGAAACTACAGGATCTTCAGGACTGAGCGGTCTTTGAAATGTCACACATGAAATTTTTATACATATGGCAAGGTGAACACAGATGTCATTGATTCTGCTATAGAACAAAAGTCTGGAGTAAATTAATATCTGGTAATTGCTTATCTTTTTCTATTATAACATTTGACAAAGCCATTAAATTTAAACCAGGGTTTTGAAAAATTGAAAGCATTCAGAGGTGATATACTATGTCTTTGACCACTTGAACATAGCAGCAGAACTAAAACAATATTCTGGGATGTGAAGAAAAAAGAATTGCAACCTTTTCTTTAAAGATATTCTGTGAATTTCCTGCCAAAGACCATTAGGACTCTATTGAATATTTAGTAGCAGAGTGCTTATTCATGAGATGAAAGTATTAGTGAATGAGGCTATCTAACAGCTTATCTAACTTACTAAATTTAAGACCAATCAAACAAAGAAAAGAAAGACAACAGTTATTAAAAAAATCCCACCCCTGAACCAGACAGATTTTCTTGTGAAATTATGAGGACAGTGAATACTTTACATTAGAAATTAATCCTGTTACTGTCCTTCCACTTTGGTTTAAGCACAGCCCATCCTCCTCATGTGTGCAAGGAAGCAAATAACACCGACATTAGAGAAAAAAGGAGTATCAAGCAGAGTCTAGAGAAAGCCACCTAGAACGATACCATCTCTTCAGCCTTACTGGTAAAATGAAGTTTGCCACAGAAATCCTGAGGTAACAGGTTTTGTTATTGTCATGTTATAATTTAATAGACTGTGTAAAAGAATAGTTGTCAACTTCAGCTTTTAAGAGTTTCTCCTGTTACTCACCACAAAAAAATTACTAATCCATATGTACCTGAAGATGATGCATACACTAAACTTCGTAAACACAGAGAATATAATGATTTAGTTGGGAATTTACATCTTCTCACACATTTGAATGCTCTCTCATGGAAATTAAAATACTTTTTGATTGTATTACCTTCACTGGCATTTTGTTGCTCTTTCACTTAATCTGTTTAGAAACTGTTTACGTTTTCCATGACATACCACTCAAAATTCACTTATGCTGAAGTCTTTTTACCCACTTTGTGAGCTATTTCAGCTGCTTGTTGCACGGTGAGAAGCACTGTAGTAATTAACTGACCAGTGCATTTGATTTACACAGAAACCAGTACTTTCCCCAGTTGGGGGCGCATGCTTAAAAGAACAATCCCTGCCAGCAACCTTACAGACCAAGATCACATATTTAAGTATCGGCTGCTTGTAGTTTGTATCCCGTTTGTCCCCTTTTTGCAGCAAGTTTCCTTAACAATAGGAGTTTTAGATTGTTTTCTTAATAATAGATGATAACAGAGTATTTCGCTTGTCTTCAATCATGGTGGCCTCTAAGGGTTGCTGAGATCTACGCCATGCCAAGTGGATGCCAAAACCAGAGGCATGGAATTGGGACTCACAGCCCCTAGCTGCCAAAATGCAGAGTAAATAATCTCACATTGCACTTCATGCTACGGTGTTCAGACCACTTCCAATATCCAAGTTAGCTCACGTACCTCTGCAGTGTCAACACACAGTCACAACTGCCCTCATTTGAGTCAATAAATAAACATCGATTATTTCCCTTTTCCACATTAGTTTAGCAAAACTGGCAAATGTTTTAGGCTGACATCCTGCATCTATGCTGGAGATTCATAACATGCTCATTCATCTACAACATGAATATCTGCTCCAGAGAGCTGTTCCAACACTGCATTTCAACCATGCAACGGAGTGTGCAGAGCAATAAAGAATCAAGTGCTTCATGCACATTACTGCCTTCTCATGTTCGGCATGGGAATTTTGGCAAGCAACAGCTTTCCTTGTTTATGGCTGCTTTCCTGCTTATATTGGGGGGCGGGGGGGAAACAAACCAAAGCAAACAGATGTATCAAATGGAAGTGTAAAGAAAAACTATCAACAGTAACATTTTTCATTGCATTCTCCCGTAATCCTGCTAATGTTCTCCTCAAGATGGGAAAGTCTTTGATGAGTAAATACAACATAATGCTGTTCCATAAGATTCTGTATTTCCCATGCATGTGTCATTTTCTCTGATTAAGGCAAAATTACAGTATCAAATGAGACAGCTGTAACTCCACTACATGTAGGAACTGCCATTGATACCCATGGAAGCACCTTGCTCTCCAGTGGATGAGCTTCATGGTTGGGCAAGAACAAGTTTAGAACTTGTATTTCATGCAAGAGCACACACTGATGTTAGATTAGGACAAAAATGAATGTTTAATCAATACTGCACAGGTTGAAGATCCTTAACATCTATAGACAGGGTCAACAGTTGGAGAGGAAAAGCATCTCCCTGGGTTCATCCCTGTTACTCTCAGTAAAATTGTCTCAAATATAAAAGCATATTTTTAGGTTTAACATGCATAATTCTTGCCTACCCAAAGTTTAAGATTCGTTGTTTATTTGGAGCTGTAACTTAAAGTTTGGGATTCCTTTTATCAGTTCTACAGTGCTTCTCCATAACATGACAAGAAAGTATCAAGTGTAATCTATTATTTGATTTATTACCCTTTCAGGTACAAAGGGAATATAAATAAGAGAGTTTGTCCCTGTATCACATTGCATCATTGTAAAGATGAAATGTCTCACAAACATTACTTTTTCTTCTTGATCTCCCTTATGTAAAACTGTTGACACTTTCTCTATTTTACAGATGAAAAACTGAGGTAAAAGATTAAGTCAGAAATATCCCTTCTTTTAGGGCACCTAACTTGAAATGTACAGGACCTGGTGTTTTTACATTAGAAACTTCACATGCACTGTGCAGGCAACTTTTCTTTGAGTTGATGGGCTAACTGGTAGCAACAGATGACATTAGAGCTGCACAGGAAATTATTTCGCCACATTTCATGGAAAGATCCTCTATTTGACAGAGTTAGGACACTTGTTTTGGGTTTCATTCCACACAACATCCTCATTTCTAAATTGGATAGACATGAATTTGACCAGCTGACCACTAGGTGGATAAGAAACTGGCTGGACGGTTGCACTCAAAGAGTTGCAGTCAACAGCTCCATGTCCAAGCGGCAAGCAGTGACAAGTGGCGTTCCTCAGGGGTTGGTACTGGGACAGGTGCTGTTAAACATCTTTGTTGGTGACATGGATGTTGCGATGGAGTTTGCATCCTCAGCAAGTTTGCTGAAGATGCCAACCTGTGTGGAGCAGTTCATACGCTGGAAGGATGGGATGCCATCCAGAGGGACCTGGACAGGCTGGAGAGGTGGGCCCATGTGAACCCCATGAAGTTCAACAAGGCTAAGTGTAAGGTCCCGCATGTGAGTCTGGGCAATCCCAAGCACAAATACAGGCTGGGTGAAGAATGGATTGAGAGCAGCCCTGAGGAGAAGGACTTGGGGTGTTGTTTGATGAGAAACTCAACATGAGCCAGCAATGTGCTCTCACAGCCCAGAAGGCCAATCGTATGCCGGGCTGCATCAAAAGAAACGTGGCCAGCAGGTCAAGGGAGGGGATTCCGCCCCTCTACTCTGCTTTTGTGAGACCCCACCTGGAATATTATGCCCAGCTCTGGAGCCCTCAACATAAGAATGACATGAATATGTTGGAGCAGGCCCAAAGGAGGGCCACAAAGATGATGCGAGGGCTGGAGCACCTCTGCTATGAGGACAGGCTGAGAGTTGGGGTTGTTCAGCCTGGAGAAGAGAAGGCTCCAGGGAGACCCTATAGCAGCCTTCCAGTATATGATGGGAACCTACAATAAGACTGGAGAGGGACTTTTTACAGGGGCATGTAGTGATCAGATGAGGAGTAATGGCTTCAAACTGGAAGAGGGTAAATTTAGAATAGAAATTAGGAAAAAAATTTTCACTCTGAGAGTGACCAGTCACTGGCACAGGTTGCCCAGGGAAGTTGTGGATGGCCTCTCATTGGAGGGGTTCAAGGGCAGGCTGGACGAGGGTTTGAGACAAAGGGGTCCCTGCCCATGGCATGGGGGATGGAACTAGATGATCTTCAAGGTCCCTTCCAACCTAAACCATTCTATGATTCTATGTTTCATTTGGACCAGAGAATTGCAAGAAATTCCTGTATCTATTAGACTATAACTGAGTTTGATTTGCTAAAATATGAATGTAAGAAAATGGGGATGCTGATAAAAGGAGATAGAATAACATATTTTCATTTTTACTGCATATTTAAATGCAACTAATCCCATTCTCTAAACTTCAAATCAGGCAGGAACAAGTTCTTCAGAAATTCTATGAACAATTAATTATTATTTTTTTAACCAAGATATTAATTTAACTTATACATGACTAATATCCAAGTTGTCAGTCAGCAGTTCTTCTGAAAAATCTATTGTTCTTTTCAGTAATTGCTGTACTAGAATAGTAGCCAGGGAAAGTGATCCTACAGACCACTCCTTTAACAAGAATAAGCAGGTAAAATATTTTCACAATATGAACAGGCTTGTTCAGCTTGTATATAGATACTGTATGTTTACAAAAGCACATGACTCAAATTTCTCTACAAAAAGACTGTTATTTTTTGTGTAGATAACATCGAATATTTGCAGCTTCCTGACCTAATATATCATTTTGTTAGCAAGAAACATGGAAAAATCTGAAACTTTTTTAAAACAAATTGGTACTTAATAAAGCAATTATTCTTATATACAGTGACAAAAAGTTGCTCCGTTCATTTTCTAAACTTATTTTACAGATAATTATATTTTTCTTTTCAAACACTTAAAGGAATAACCTTGGGCATAATAGAGCACTTTGAACATAATAAGACATACCTTGTTTAGCTTTACAAAGTAGTCCAGTCCAGCTTCCAAGGGATTAGTGTCACAGTTCATCTGTGAAAAAAAAATAAAAATTCATGTACATGATGGACTATCATAGCTTTTGGGTTGGGGGGATATTAATTTAGTTATTCTATGCAGACTTCTATTTACTCCTGGGTCAATGTCTTCCATGTGGCATATGTGCAAATTCCAGTTGAATACACTGTATGCTTCCTATATGCAATTTCAACCAAATATCTACTATTATGCCTAATATAAAGTCAAGATATGTAAATCATTCATCTAAGTTTCAATATGCAAATTAAACATACATTTCATTAAGAAACAAGACTTTTTATCAAAACAGAACAGAACCTGCAGAAGATTGAATAACTGAGGTATGCACGTTAATTGCAGCACAGCAGAATGCCTTAGCTGGAGTGGAAAATAAAACGCAAAGCCAATTTTATTTACCAGCTTGCCATTAGGCATAGGGGGAAGGATTTTTTGGGCAGCCTTCAAAGCAAGAATGAAAACAACTATCGCTGTGCAAACGAAAAGGACCCCTAAGTTCCCACCATTTCACCTTCCTGAGTTGTTTCCTTTCCAAAGGAATTAGGAAAAATTTCAGGTAAGCAGAAATTATACTGATTTTCCCCATATTCTCTAGGCCCCCTTAGTAGTTCCATATTGTGAGTGAGTAAATTTGGCAGAAACAAGCTAATGGGAAATGAAAAAGTTCCAAATACATTATGAAGCAAGAATAATTGGCCTCTCATGACAGTTATTACAGAAATAAACCATTTTCAGAATCTATCAGCCAAACCTTTGATTTCAAAACACTAGAGCTCAGCAAAACCCTCATAATTTTGTTATACACAAGAGGGAAAAACATCAGTGAATCAAAATAAGTGTCTCATTGCCAGCAGTGCAATAGAGTATACTAGTTAGTTTTACTTAGAAAAGACACTGTACAGAATTACAGCAGCTTTTCCTGCTCAAGGTAGATTTTCTTTTTATTCTAAGTTGAGAAACTGGAACAAGTACTATCTAAGCTAGCTCTGACTAAAAGCTGTATAGTTATAATGACATAAAGAAGATAAACAGAAAGAATAATAAAGAAATTGTATTTCCTGACCTCTGCCCCCCAGGCTCGGAAACCCTTTTCCAGCCTTAAAGCATTCAGAGCGTATGTTCCAAAGTTGTCAATTCCCTCTTTTTGTCCAGCTTCCATGATTGCACTGTAAAGAGCTACAGAATCTTCTTTTCTATGATAGAGCTCCCAGCCCAATTCACCTGTTATACAAACAAGATTAATGGTTTCATCAGCTCAACAATGAAGCAATCCTAATTAAATAAAGTCCTATTCTTGGTAAAAAGTGGGATCAATGCTGGAAGTGTTAATTTACATTCTGGGGTCAATTCTGCTGTCATATATCAAGTCTAATTCCCTGCAAGAACCACCGGATGATTTAGGCCTCATATTTTAAGCAGTGATACCATTATCCTAATTTAAACTGCTAACTGAAATGGGAGGGGGGAGTGGGGAGCGTTGGGGGGGGGTGGAAATCAGAATAACTGACAAGAAAAGGTCATATAGCGAAGTCACAATGAGAGATGAAGGTTAAGGGCTTTATAAACAGCTGATGACTTGGCAAGTGAACTGCAAATGTAACTGAGTGTAAATATGCATAAAACAAGTATATTGTATCATATTTGGTACAATAGAAAGAGAAGGACTTCAGCTGCTTCAGGATGATCTGAATCTAGCCCATTGCAGTAGAGATAGACATAGAAATAGATAAAAATAAAAAGTAACTGAGAAAAACAAATACTCAGCATTACAGTGTTACATTTTCAAGGCACTTGACAAACACTAATATATAGTAATCCAAAAACAATTCTTGACGTTGGTTTTTTAGCAAATACCACAGGGGTTATCAGAATTGGCCTTTTGTTCTGTAAAATAAATATTTACACTACAGTGTATTCTAGAGAAAAAGGTCTTGGAAAACTCAGCACAGACCCTGACCAGATCACATCTGAAAAAAAAAAAATATAAAAAAAAATTAAAAATCAATGTACTGCATTTCTTCACACATTTATTTATCATAGAATCATAGAATGGTTTAGGTTGGAAGGGACCTTGAAGATCATCGAGTTCCACCCCCCCTGCCATAGGCAGGGACACCTCTCACTTGACCAGGTTGCTCAAAGCCACATCCAGCCTGGCCTTAGACACCTCCAGGGATGGGGCAGCCACAAGTTCCCTGGGTAACTTGTTGCAGCGCCTCAACACCCTCACAGTGAAAAAATGTGATGAACCTATTGCTTATGAATACATGAGGAGATTTATTTTTCAACATAATTTTAGTTTTAATATAATTTACACTGATCATTTTATTTATTGCCGCTTTCCTTAAGATTCTGTTTTCTCTATTACTTACCTGTGTACGATATCCTAATGGCAATAACAGCAACATCAGAAAGTTTCAAATGTCTAGACTGGAGAAACTTAAATGAACTGTCACTCAGATCCTCACTTGTCAACTTCTGGAGGATCTGTCGGGCATATGGACCTGCTACACCAAGTACTCCCATCTCATCTGTCACGTTTTCTATTTCAACTTTATATCCACCTCTCGTTACTTCCTCTTCTATCCATCTGCATGTAAAATGTAACAGTGATATTAAATTTCTTATGAAAAATAACTGATTTAGATAAAGATTTGAAAGGAATAATTTTTTGTTAGTGTTCATCTTCCCAGTAACTCCCAGTCCCACACCTTCTCAGAACCAATGGAAATATGTGCTACACTAGATAGTCAATTCCATCATTGATGTTAAACAGTGTTTTCTGGTGAGATACTGGTATAGGAATGCAGGCATCTGGCATACAGCCAGGAAAGGAGAGAATTTAAATGGGTGGAACAGTATTTTCAGCGTAAGAGAAAGAAGAGATCTCATAGAACAGAACGCCAGTTTGCCTTTGGATGCAGAATGTGTTAATAAAAAGTCAACATACAAAAAGTAAGCAATAAACACAATGAACATAAGAAATCTCAAAATAAATTCCTCTGTCAATAGAAATGTACAACCAGGCTTGTTCTTTCCTGAATACAGTATTTAAAATACTGTCAGGAAGTTCAGTTTTGAGTTTTGATTTAATAGAAAACATCAGCTGAGTATTCTCTTTCAGGAAGCTCACAAAATAAATGAAAGGAGTATATTTAAAAATCTTATAAAGTACTACTTTGTTAAGCAGTGTTAAAAGATCTCAGACGCAGGGGAGTACCAAACAGGATTGCTGAAATCCTGCAGAAGTAAATGCATTAGGTCTGGTTCTGCCATTTGGTTCCTGAATGTGCCAGTGGTCCTACTGATTGCTATGGGACCGCTATGAAACAGTACCTTATCCATCGTGTGTTGGGACAGCAAATTTCAGCCTTCTGTGTGTTGACTCATTTTGAATAACTGATTTGCCAGCAATCTCCAATTATGTATTATATCTTAGTATGTATGTACAGCCACTTATAGCACTAGAAATGTAACCTCCAATGCCCATCTATGCAAAGCATGTTATGAAATCATCCTGCTGCAACTGCTTCTGCCTCCTTTCTTTCTGTTGTTTCGCTTTGTGACCCCAGAGCCCAAAGCAGAAGGATACTAGTGTTCCACAGAATCAGGAACACTGCACTACCTATCTGTATTGGCCAGGGTAGTGGCCCTGGGGTCATCCATTTTTAAAGCCAATTTTCTTTTTGCGTAAGAGAAAACACTGGAAAGGAACAACCATGCTGTGTTCCATCATATAATGCCAAACACAAACAGGTTCAATAACAAAACAAGAACTACTCCATTAAAGTATATTACATAACTATCAGTAAATTCTCCATCTTTTTACACCAACAATAATCCAATATGCAACTGCTTATACTTCAGGGTTCAACTCAACCAAGTTTCTAAGAAACCAAAATCAATAAATAAGTAGAATTCTCTTGAACCTAGCAAAAGGTTTCTAGAGTAATAACTAAGATTTTGGCACTTAGTAAAAAGGTTTCTATATGAATGTGACTGTAAAGCTCCGTGTACTTACTGTATCAAAAATAAACGAACCTCAGATCATGGAGTTCTGATCCCGAGCCAGTTACAAGCATAAATTCTCCAGGATACAGTTGAGAGACTGTTAGCTCAGCATAAACTTTTCCTCTTGGTGTTAACATATGGCTTATATTTGTGGAACCCACCTACAGAGTAAAGTTTGTGATTATGAAGAATGCAAAATAAACTCTTTGAATTCTTAAACATTATGAAATATACGGAAATATGTCTTTATTTGAAAGAACAACATTTTCATGTTTTTTCTGCTATGCCATAACAGGAGCAGGCAGACACACAATTGGCCATGTTTAAGATTTACAGTGGAAACTTCACATTTTTTTTCATAGAAAAAAATAATTGAAATTTTTGAAATGAGATAAATCAAGACCTTTATAAGTATTTGTTATTTGTGCATTACACAAGGTCTTCTTAAGCTACATTTGATTTAAGAATGCATTTTCAACGCAAATTCAATCAATTCTAGTTTGTTCCCTGATCATCAGAATAAAAAATTCTACGTTATTGACATAGGTATTCTTTTTTAGTCATGTGAATAAGGCTTTCAGATCCCAAAAGTATAACATTACTTTACCCCTTACTTTAGAGAAAGAAATACTGAGCTGGCTTATGCTTTTGTGGCCCTGATTTATGTATGCTTTTATATTTTATATATTTGCTGACTATGAATCTACATCTCTGTACATTTGAATTGGGTTCTGTGTAGAAATGTGATCTCTAGAGGCAAAACTTCAAATAAGAGTCACTTAGCTGTGACCATAAAACATATACATGTTCATACAGATATTGTCCATACAAACAGAAATATGAATTTGCCATAGCTGTTGTGCTGGTCTGGTTTCAGAGGCAGAATTTAATCTCTCTTATTTCATTCTGCTTTCATAAGAACCTTGTCAATCACCCAGTCGGTGCCCAGATTCCAGACAATGAATAGAAAAATGAAAAATATTGTAGAGATTAACATTCCTTTGCAAGGTCATATTACATTAATATAATTACTGGCATATTGCAGGCACATAACCGAATTGTCAGGATCTGATAGTAGTCACACTCCAGATAGTTATGATACACATATACCTCCAGTAACTTCACTGAATTATTTCATGATGCAGCATGAATGAGACCAAAAATCAGACAGCTTAAATAATCAATTGTTGTGAATGCTGGATTTTTAAGTAGACCCATAAAGTGTTTGTTCTATTTTGCCACCTATATTTCTTTTTCACTTTAGCAACACTGATTACTCTCCATAGAAAGCACTCACTTTGTTCTCATATTTTCATGTTTAACCTTGCTTTCCCCCACCACATAAATATATTCAATAAGCGCTATCTATGTCCATTGATGACAGTTACCCCACCTCTACCCCAAGCTAGAAAGAAGGCAAACTTCTAATGTATATTGTTATCACAAAATTAATACAGTAAAAAATATGACTAAATGGCAATTCAGGTACTTCTTTCTCCTCAACCTACAGGGCACCATTCTTGTGTACAGCCTTTCTATTCAGTTGGCTCTGACCTCTGAGAAGAAAGCATCTACCTTCATAACAATAGTCTCAGTATACTTACTGTTTCCCTATGCTTCCTGTCTCTGGTGTCTGAAGCAGCTAAAACCCTAACCTACAGCAAAAACTTAATGAAATTCTGTGCTGAATGAGCAAACCCCATGGCTGTAGCACTTTGGAAAGGAACCACCTGCTTGCTGGAGGTGAAATCAAGTTTCTGAAATTAAAACACACTAAATTGGAGTGGCTGACAAGGCTGGAAGATAAAGCAGTACCAGAAACTGAGGACCAAGAATAAGAAACCTGGGGTAGTTTGTCACCATGTGACATTTTTGAAAACAGGATCATACTCTGAGGATCTTGAGCAGCCACACTTGTGAAGAAAGGACAGGTGTGAGCTGAAAGCTGAATATCCTGAATATTTGCAACCTTGCCTGCTTCAGGTAGCCAGCAGAGTCAGTGTGAGAGGGGTGGAAAATAAGCATGGGTTACCTTTAAAAAAAAAAAAAACATGACACACAAACAAGAAGACTGTTGCCTTGGGCATCCAGGAGGAATGAAACATCCAGCTATGGTCAGGCAAGAGCACTTTCCACTGCTCTCGTCTGCTGTGTGAAGCTGCCACAGCACAGCACAGTGTTAGGCAGCCAGCTGCCAAACTATTCTAGTATTACTGTAACAGAATTCCAGGTGAGATTCACTTGGACTTCTTTAGACAATGATTTGAAACATAGAAGGTTCTGTGTTTCAAGGAAACACTTTTTTATTGTAAAGGTGACTGAGCACAGGAGCAAGTTGCCCAGAGAGCTGATGAAGTTCCATCATTGTAGATTCTTAAAAGCCACCTGGACATAGTCCTGGGCAATGAGCTCCAGGTGACGTGCTTGAACAGGGGGATGGACAAGGTGACCTCCAGAGGTCCCTTCCAACCTCAACCTTTCTATGATTCAACGATTTGTGCCAAAAGATACTTCTTCACGGGCTATTCTAGTCTACATGGGGCCACTCTAGTATAAACTCCACTGTCTGTGCTCTTAACTGAGTGAAATACATCTTTGACACAGAAATTTCTGCAAAGGATCTGAGTGTTTGGCATCTGAAAGATATGGCAATAATATTATGCTTATCACTGTCATTTACCTTTGGAACAACATTTGCAAATAGATGATCCAGCAGCTTAACAGAATCTGTGCCTTTTACTTTAAACTTGCCAAAAGGTGACAGGTCAATCACACCGACTTTTTCCATAACCTGTTTATACTCACGACCCACAGGGTCAAACCAATTTGTGCGCCGAAAACTGGGTCTGAAACAGAGCATTTACACATATAAAAGCAATTTGGAAATTTTGTGCTCCTTTCAGCAAAACGTAGTCTTCATTTCCTTCAGTTTAATAATCATTCAAAAGAGATAGACTTTCCTAATTGTAGGTAGCTTACTCAATATTTTCCTTGGTCTAAGATAGCTTAATTATTAAAATCCTTTAACAACAGAGAAAGATATGAGTTGATATTTTATCAACCATTTTGTACAATCAACTGTGAACTGTTGAAATGTTAGAAGAAGTAGCAGTCTGTCATGTATATTTACAGCATATTTTGTTGCTGAATCATTTATTTGAGTTTAAGGTGTCAAAAGCTTTATTTCTGAACAGCTGAGTGTGTCTCTTTGTTCCTTTATAAGCCTCATTTAGACTGGGACTCCAGTATCCCCGTGGAAAACTTTTATTTGCTCCCTGATGCAAGCAGGTAACTAGCTAGGCAGGCACAGCAGAAAAAAAAAAGAAAGGATGATTGGGCTTCTCCCTTTCTGAGAGTTATACAGAGAGGAATCAGCTTTTTCATGAAAACATTATACTGTGCTGCTGATCAAAGAATAAGAAAGGGCGAAAAAATACAGTGAACAAATTGTTGTCTAATCTTTTGCTTGAGCTAGGCTGCTCCCTGATACCCCATACCTAGAAGACTTACAGGATACCTTGATGCATGTTTTGAAATGTCTGCATTATTGAATGAAATGGATTCTGAACTATAGACAAAACAATAATGGAAGATATACCTAATAGATATCTTTAGCTGAAATGAATGATAAATGTATGTTTCTTATTAAATTTAACTCAGCTAGCCTTTGCTATCATGACAATTTATTGGGGGAAGAGGGGAGGAGATAATCTTTTATTTACTTGTATCCAGGCTCATCTCCGGGTTTGTAGAACCAATGAGGTTGCTCCCATCCTGCATGAAAGCCCATTGAACATTTGGATTTCAGCAAATCATACAGCCCACTGGTTCTTTCTGTTGGTCTCCCAGCAAATCTTTCTTCTTTAGGGTAACCAACTAGAGGAGGAAAAAAAAAAAAGCAAACCAAAACCCATGGCATACTAAATACTGTACACCATCAAGATAGAATATATATTAAAACATATATATAAACACAGAAATCTAGAGGCAGGCTTTGTTGGAATCCATTTTCAGGATACAAATGTATTTAAAAAAATACCTTCTTACCAATGTTATTAAAACCATAAGATTCTCTTGCTTTGGCTGCAGTGTATTCTGTGGTGGTCCACTTTCCATATCGGTTGGGATCTAATTCTATCAGGTCAAATGGAGGTTCCCCCTCAAGGATCCAGTCACTGAGGTACTTTCCTATGCCACCAGCATGTATAATACCATACCTTAAAAACAGGGGAAAAGTCTGTAGTGCCAAGTCTTTTTTTGTTTGTTTGCTTTTAAAAATCAGAGCTAGCATATACTACTAATACACCCCCTAAAATATTCTAAATTTGTCATTCTTTTATTTTGTTGTATTTTGTCTTGTTTTCCAAGATGACATGCTTTATTGACAGATGTTTCTACTGCCCCACTGTCAGCAGCAAAACTCTGTTGCTTACGTGCAGCATTTTTGGTGCATGAGGTTATAGTAAGCTCTTTCTTCCTCTAAAGTTCAGAATTTAACAATCTTTTCCAGGGCCATTAGAACTCTTCAACAATTAATACTAGATAAAGTTCTCAAACTTCTGATATCCATTAAATACACTGTCTAGTCATACAATAGCTCTTCTTTTTCAGTAACATTTAATTAAACCAGATTCAGACTTGAAAACCAGACTGAGACATTCTAGCAGCTACAGTGAATATTTACACTACGGTGACAAGAGCAACAGCAGCAAAAGTCAGGAGAAAACACTACTGAGACAGCTTGAAAGAATTAGGGAGTGTAGAAGAACTGCAGATAAAACTAGACTTGCTTGCAGTGGTGCCTGAGTTGAAAGCTGCTTTTTCTCACCTGATTTACCTTCTCTGTTCTCCACTACAACTACAAAGAGAATTGGTTCCAGAAAGCTTATGCTAACAAAACAAACATGTAGAAATTTTCTGGTACCAGTCTGGCAAAAACCTGTTCTGTTTCTACACGAGTGTGTGAAGAATCAGACTATAGAGGAGATCTCTTGGAAGAAACCTGCATTAAAGGAACCACACCAGACAGCAAAGGTAGTTGCTCAAAAGTTATGAAGTGATAGATGTAAGGTTTCCTTACTTAAATATTTTGCACATAATTCTAACTGTCAAAATGCTTGACATCTTAACATCCATAAGGAAAAAGCTGTATGTGAAACGTGCTCCTGCGAGGTACTTGAAGTGGACAACTGGGGACAAGGATCTTTTTTTTGCTGCAATGTGTCTGTCACTACTCAGTCTACATATGACCAAACAGTACTATGTAATGCTGAATTACAGGCACCTCAGATTTGACACCAAAACATTTAATGAGAAATAATTATTAAAATAAAAAGTTTTAAATCATTTGGTGTTAATACCTCTGTGAATTAGTTTGCCATGTCTAAAAAAAAAGTATCAAAATAGCCTCCGGTCTAGAGAGGATGTGAAAATAAATTCTTAGTTATTTGTGAAATGCTCCAATAAGCACAACAGAAAAATCCCTGAAGAAATAGTAAGCCTGTCCAAACCCAAGTTTAGATTAGCATGCAGCAATTAATTCACAGACACACTGAATAGTGAAGCTAAACCAAAATTGAATTGCTGTTCATCAACTTTTCATTCTGAATTCTATGCCCTAAATTAAATAGGCAAGGATCTTGTGGAGGGAGGAAAAAAAAAAGAAAGGATGCAATCATTTAATTCTAATGCATATGCAGTAGAAGAATGAATTCAGATTACACAGACAACTTAGTTCTGGCACTTCCTAACTGCAGAATGCCTAACTTAATAATATTCATGAGATTACTTTGATATAGTGGGGTTTTAGCTGTAATTTATTTATTTATTTAAATAAAACAGAAATATTAAACAGTTGAGTACATGAAGTAATTATGCCAAACACACTCCTTTAGGCTGTTCAGCATAAATACTTAGATTCTCAGCACAAGCTTCTGTTACTACAGTTGATGCAGTAAAGGTGAGTGCTTGTAAACTGCCATTTTGCAAGTACTACAGAAGAGCTAGCCATTGCTGGAGGTAAGTTAATTAGGGAACTCGTAGTTATTCACGGGAATAAGTTTTGTGACCTTCAAGAATGGCTGCTTCCCTGCACCATTCACTGCAGCCAAAAGCACATGGGAACACAGCACAGACACCACTGCATGACTGTGGGTGGCAACAGACCAAATGCAATGAAGTTTTCTAGCTTCAGCTGAAGACTGCTGAGCTGATGGCAGGATAATCCTGGGGGCAAGACAGCCCTGCAATGTGGAGTTGCTACTACAGGTACAGCACTGCGTGTGGTCTGACTGGTCTCTACACTCTGCAGAGCTTTGCAGAGCTGTCTCTGTGCAATCAGTTGATTTTGGTGCTCCCAGCTACAGGGTTTGATTGGCTGGCTGATTTGGTGCTCCCAGGCCTACATTATCAGAGAATTTAATTCATGCCGGGTGCCCAGATCCCTCATTACTGATTGTATTAATACACCACTTCAGATCTGTTACACAAGAATGAAACGCTTTGCAGGAATAGGATGTTACAAGTAGCTGTAAAGAGTGGTACAGTTTATGAATCTCAGTCTTCATATGAGGATTTAGAGAAAGTTTCCTTAATGAACACAAACTGCCCTTGTCTGTTTTTCTTCTCTCCTTCCAATCCCTGTCAGATTATCTTCCTCATTGTCTCTGTCCTATTCTTGGTCTTACTTGTTTATGAGTCCTTGCTTCTCACATGTTTCTGACTCATTCCACTCCTTTTTCCTAGGAAATCTGAGTCCTCGCACAGCACAGTGCCTTTTCTAGAGTCTTTGTCTCGGATTTACTCATTTCTCTATCCCATTTCTGCAGGAAAACTCCTTTTCGGTCTCTGGCTGTGCAATACTACTGTAGATAGAATGCAGGAATCTTAGTGCAAGATTTTGTTCCAGTATTTAAAGGGTGGATATAAAAAAGATGGAGACTCCCTTTTTACAAGGAGTCACATGGAAAAGATGAGGGGTAATGGGTACAAGTTAGTTCTGGGAAGATTTCAACTGGACACAAGGAGAATTTTTCACAATGAGAACAATCAGCCATTGGAATAGTCTCCCCAGGGAAGTGGGGGATTCCCAACATTGGACACTTTCAAGGTTCAGCTGGACAGGGTCCTGGGCCATCTTCTCTAGGCTGTGCTTTTGCCAAGAAAGGTTGGACCAGGTGATCCCTGAGGTCCCTTCCAACCTGATATTCTGATGCTATGATTTAGTGAGTCTCTATTAAAGGTTTATGAGCTGTAACGTTTATAAAGGCTTGTGAGTGGGCCTCACGGATAGATTTTGTGAAGAACAGCAGAAAGGCATATCTTTAGGAGAAAGGTCACTTCTGCCAAATGTGAAGTTCATTCTCAGAAAATGGCGAAATAAGAGCTTTTCAAAAGAAAGACTTCAGCCCAAAACCCTTAACAGAGCACACTAACATATCTTCCAAAAATCATGTTCTTTGGAAATGGTTACACTGCTTTGACTTAAATATTTCTGAATAAAAATCTAGCCTACTCTTGTTAACATTTTCAAAGCTGTAAGTAACTGAAAACAGTCTTAAATTGGAAGCATTGGGCAACCGTAATAATAATAAACAGCGCTACAAGATCTGCTAACTATACTTACTTACTTCTTTGCACATTAAAATGCCTAGCAAGCTGCCAATTTTAGATAATAAAAATCCTCTAAACTAACAGCACTAAGTCCTCTGTCACAATGTCCCTGCTAGTTGACTGTGAGATAAGGATTTGCTAATGCACACAAAAAATTACAACACTGCTAGAAACACTGCAGTGACCCAGAAGCGTAGAACAGAGTCAAACGTCCCTGAAAAGCAGACAAAGCAATCCAATGACAGCAACATATTTGCAACCTGTGTCTACACACTTAGAGATTAATCAAATTATTGAAATAAGTTTGTTTAAAGAAACTTTAACATATAACACTGGCCTTCAGTTATTCCTATATGGAACTTCGATTCTGCTTCCATTGGCAGCAACGAAGGAAAACAGGCTCCAAAGTCTGGCAGCACAGTAATGAACTTAAACAGTCTTTTTGGTGAACAAGGACTAGGCAAACCACTTTTGTAACTATAAGTTCTGCAAATGTTACTAAAAGATAACAATATTTTTTTTTTAAATCCAAGCAGCAAAGGTGAATACCTTTCACAATGAATCATTGCAAAATTACCAAACCTTTTTATTTTGAGGGCCTTGGAAAGCACATTAGTGGTACTGCCTTATCTTATGATCTGAGGGTTTGTTTGGTTTGGACTGAAGAAAACTGGAAAAAGCTGAGCTGGATTTTGAACAGCAAGTTAGGCAATTCAAAAAACAGTGTAAACAGAATGTGTTCAATAACATGTGCCTGGAATTGTATTCAGTTCATTCTATCCATCTTGAATCAATGCTGAAACTAAGACAATTAAAGTGGGGCCATAGTATATAAGATGTAAATAATATTCAAAGAAAATATCATAATGGGCAGGAGAATGACACCAGTAAAGCACTCATTCCTGTTGTCACACTGCCCTCTTCATTTGCTTTCTTACAACACCAAGCAACACAATTTTTCAGCTCAACCTTCAACAGTCAGAACTATTACTGTGTGTGTATCCCCAGAGCAGTCAGTCACCCAGTATGCCGGCAATGCCTTCTGATTAGTATGCCTTCAACTCCACCTGGAAGTTAATACTTCCTATTAAAAGTTCTCCATGTACCACTCATTCTTGTCCAACTGGAGTGACACCATAAGCCAAACAATTGCTGCATACACCAAACAACTGTTGAACACCATGTAATTCAAAGCACTATAAATATATATATATTTAAAAAATGAACTGGAAAGTGTATTATAAAACCCAGCACTTTTATGGCTTTAACTTGCTGCACAGACAGTACCAAGTACTACCCATTTCTTGCTGCTTCATAAAGTGTTACAGATATTGGCCCCCTGAATAACAGGAGGAAACAAATTGGAAAAACAGTGAGAGAAGAAGTATGAGAGAAGGATAATGTTCTATTATGTAGGTAGTGGTAATTAAGACTATTTCCAATTATATTTTAGATAAAATATGTGCAAAACAACCCCCAAAACCATAAAACTGTGCAAAGCTTGAGCTGACCACAATTTTAAACAATAAAAGTTGTCACAAAGCATTTACTCACCCGAAACCAATAGCTACCCAGTAATTTCTGACACCCTGATGTGGTCCCACCATAGGAAGAATGTCTGGAGAATAGGTGATAGGACCTGCAATTGTGTTTACAATGTCTGCTTTTTTCAGAACAGGGACCATTTCCATAGCAGCCTCAATATGCTCCATTATTCTGTCTAAATCAGACTCAAATAGTTCTTTTCCAAAACCTGCAAATATATTTGACTCTTATTATATAGTTATTTACACTGAAAATACTTACATTTTAAATACAGTTACGTAATCTACATATATAAAAGTTATATGGAATTAATCAGTGAGTATGTTCAAGCCCTTGCCATCCTATAAGGGAAAAAATGGCGTGCATAAATCCCTAGTTACCTGCAGGATCAAGTTTATTGTCACTGCAGTTATACTGTCCTTTATACATATTTGTTTAACCCTAAGGTCATGCAAATTCAACAATGAAGTAGAAAGGAAGTAGAGAAACACAGAAGCTTCCTCCTATGTTAGTAAGACCCACTTACTTTTCTCAATATGCCAACAATTTGGGGAAGGGAAGAAAGATACTGCCTGTGACAGCTTGTTTTTACCGTGGTGTTTAGTAAATTCCTGAATATATTTCACCCTTCAGTCTGAGCTCTAAGCATTATTGAACATCACTCCATAAAGGGACTCGATGGTACTGGAAACAATATGTTCACGAAGCTATGACAGTGTGATCCAAACCCCAATAATGCTGATTGCTCCTCCTTAGGAAACATGTTGTGTTTTTTTAAAAAAGCAACAGTGTTGACTTAATATAACTTTCTGTCTAGAAGTGAGTGGAAAGCTGGAGCCTAGATATAAGACAGCAATTTATTATTTTTTTTTTTAATAAGCAGCAGTATGACATAGGATTTTTTGGTACAAAAATTCTATACAAATGTACATCTTTCTTGCACTTAGATCTGAGCACAGCATTTTGTCTAAGACATTCTTTTGCTATACCTGTGTTCCTGTTTGACAAACACATTATCTCTGGGGGAACAGCAAAAACCCAGAGCCCCTGACAGTATGCTGGAGAGAATTGTAACCCATTCAGTTGCAAAAGGCTACATAACACAGATTTGGTGACTGCATCTAATCACAACACACAGGCACCTGTTCAGAGAGTAGGGTAAGACTATGTTGTAGATGTGTATTTTGTGCCTATTTCAAATAGGCTTTATGTTACATTTTTATTTCTATTGACACTTATCATTAGAGTTACACCTATTCTTTGAAAAAAAAGTTTCTGCATTACAATCATGCACTGCAAATATTTTCTATTTTCCACCATATAAGGCTGGGATTTATACACATTAAGATGTGTGCTAATGCTTATCAAGTTTAAAGATTTAATGTTCTTCATTACCTGGTGGAACTCCATCTGTTACCCATGAGTCCTGCAGCTTCATCTTCTCCTCGCTTTCATATGGACCAAATAAAAGACCATCCCTTTCTTGCCTTAGGTAGTATGATCCTTCTAAGTCACGAATCACGGGCAATTCTGTTTTTAGGGCTTTCACTTCAGGGATAGTTGATGTCACAACATACTGATGATGAACAGGTATGAGAGGGTGCTGCAGGCCAATCATCTTGCCTATGTCACGGGCCCAGAAGCCTCAAGAAGACAAAAAAACAAAGTAGAAATATTCAAACACTAATTTCAGTGACTGGGAAACAACAGTACAAGATTTCCAGGAAGCACTGCGCTTTATGGAATGTGACAAAGAATTTTTTTCCATATTTTTAATTTTAAAATTATTTTTCATATTATCCAGCATAATTTTCCCCCATAATTCCATGTCTTTGTTCCTAATTATACTACCATGTATTATTTTAGTATACAGATATTAAAAATTATATATTCAGTAAAATATAAATTAGGCTTACAAAAGTTCAAAAGATAATTAACAGTCCCACAAACCCCATCATTTATTTCAGTACAGTAGGTTTGCAATGCAGTCCTAGCAAAGTCAGAGACACTTAAAAATCAGAATAAATTAGCTCACACCGTAGGCGTTAACCTAGCCTCTTACTATCAACCAAATGAGGTAGTATGTTTTTCTAAGACAGCAGCCAAATCCTAACACCCCAATAGAGCAAGGCAGTACTTTCAGCCAGCTAACCTCGAGAATTTAAGTTTCTCTCCTCTTTCACACGCATCATGTGACTCATATTAATTATGTCTCTCACATAGCAATCAACTCATTATAATGTTCGTAGTCAGTGTGCTCTCCCATAGCTGTCCAAATTAAAGTTCTGATACAGACTGTGACCAGAAAACGCCAGCAACAATTTCCCTGCCCCTGCAGCCTGCTCAAGGTCCTTCATGTATATACTACTAGGCATAAGTTAAAGAAGACCTAATTCTTCTCTGTTAAGGTTAAGCTGGTAAGCTGCATTCACTTAGTGACGTGCCCGTGTAAAAGTCAAGGCTGGAAGCCACTTAACTGCCAAACTTACTAGATTGGGCTCTGCATCATGGCTCACATCTGCTGTAAGGCTGGAACATACAGGCCTGGGAATCAGACATACAATTGACTGGGAAGGCAGCTGCTCTAAGAAACTTGGCATATCCCTCAGCCCCACTCTCCTGACTCTTTGGGTCAAGGAGCGCAGATCTCAGAAGTGGGAATGAAAGGGGAAAATCCAATGAAGCAGGATTTTCAGGGGAGTCTGGGAGTAAGGGTTGGGGACAGGCAAAATGGAAGAGGAGGAAGAAGTAGCAGGGCCTTCCAAATAAAAGGCTATGTGCTATATGGCGCCCAGGAAAAGAAGACAGGTGTGCCTGGTTCCTGTGTCACCAGCTGACTCCAAACTGTTTATGAAAAAGTATTTCCAGCAAGATTTGCTACCTAACACAGCTACTCCTTCTCCTGGGACTTACACTCATGTTGCCCAGCTTAACATATAACTTTTCTTCCTTTTTGCTGCTTATTTGTCTTACCCAAAAGCTCCTACCTCTCTCTTCAATTCCATACTGTCTGAAATCTGGTCAAAATTTAGCCTTCGGGGCCCTGAGGGTGCTAACCGGCATTAATGATCCTGAGCAGCCTCACCTGGGACTTCCACCCCATGGGCCCAGGAGCCCTGTTTCAGGTCAGCTCAGAGTCTTCAGAACCTGTCTGAGCTGGATTGATTGTAGGTGTACCTGTTTACAGCTCTGTCACAACCATGCCTGTGCCTGGCCATGGACCTCATTGATCCAGACCCTGATCCGTGGACTACTTTCCAGCTTGACCTCAACCCAGTCTCGTCTCTATGGTCCTGCCTGTTGATCACTGGGCAGTATCTGACCCTGGTTACCGTCACCAGACCTGTTCCTGACCTGTGGCTCAACCTCCTGGCTTCATCACTACGGACCTGCCTGTGCCTCATCCCCACAAGCTTGTCTGGAGATCTGGACTGTGGGCTGACCCCAGCTGCTGAGCCTGGGCTTGCCCTGCTCCCTCCCTTCTGCCCTGCAGGACAGAGCCCTTGCTGGATCGGCCCCTACCCTGCCAGCCATGTTATCACGCTTGGCTCCCCATCCTGCGGCCAGCAGCCGGCCCGTGCTGCTTGCTGACATTAACTTGGGAATACATCCTCTCCTCTCGGCCATGGCCTAAAGCCAGGGCAATTAGGAAAGTTGAGTTGGGCCATGCTGGCCTTGTGCCATTGCCCCATGCCAGGAGGGCTGTCAGTTTCTTATTTAATATTACAAACCATCCTGAGGGTCTAACACCCACAGTTTTTAAAAATGCAAATTTTCCGAGGAAAATGTTTTCTATGGTGACTCACTTGACAATTGCTGACAGCCAGCTGAAGCAAGGGAGCAGGAAATCCAGGACCATGGCAGAGAGGTCAGTTCAATTAAAAGCCTCTGCCCAGTAAATATCAAAACCCAGTGTCTGTTGTTCTACATCTATCGTATGTGAGGCTTTTGCTTCTTAATGGCATCCTGACCACTTGGAGGAGACGCACTGACAAAACACTTGTTAGGTCAGTTAAATTGGCTCAGGGAAGATCATACCATAGTCATACAGTGAGTGATCCAAAACATCCTTTAAGGCTACTGAAACGTGATTTACGCTCTCTTATACAAAAAAACAACAACAAAAAAATCTAATAAAGTTGAATTTCTAGTACACCTGCAAGGGTTTCCTCCATTACACATGACAAATACAAATGTGGATTTAAGTAGAGGCTAACAATCTTTAGGGAACTTCTTGTGATTTGGGCATTTCCATGTCACCTACAAAGAAAACTATTCTAAGGTAAGGTCAGCTAACAATCCACGGAGGAGAAGGAAAGGTGAAGCAGCAGAAAATTCCATCTCTAGTATCATGCACTGTTCCTGCCAAAATTGTTTGTACTTAAAGAGGTATTTGGAAAAGAAATAATGGTCTGGGAATGTGCTTTTAATAAATTCACTATTTTGCTTGCTCATTAAAACAGAATCAGTGGGAAAATATAGGGAGCAAGCATATTGAAGCTTCTCAAAGAAAAAAAAACTGTAGACTTAATTTTAGGTCTTTGAAACTTAACTTAGTTTCTTTCAAAATTATATTAAATTTCTTAGCCATTAAGTTTGCAGAGGTACATTACAAACACAGCTGATTTTAAATTGCTTTTGAATTAAAGGCAAATAGATTAGGTTTGCTCAAAATAAAATCTTAAATTTTGTATTTCTAAAAAAATCACACTTCTGATAAGTGCTTCTTTAATTGCTTAAAATAACAACAGCTGACATTTACTAAATGAAAAATATTACAGTTTCTTTGTTTAAAGTTTTTGAACCATGTGCAAATCTATTACAAACACAAAAATGGCAAAAGGAAGAATACGTTCTCTGAAACAAAATTCTAATTGGAAGCAGATGTCAAGTCCTATCACACATAGTAGAGATAAATGAAGGCATAAATTATATCTGTAGGACATTTGTGAAGATTAAATTGTAGAGATTGCAAACATCTGATGCTGAAATATTTAGTAGTGGTATTACTTAGCATATCTGCTGAACTATGTAATCTGACTATCGCTTGTTTTTAAAAAAGAAAATCTTCCCTCACTACGTGTATATAAATGGTTGTATATACAGTGTGTACATGTTGGCAGATGTGTGCTTATATACACACACATACTGTATATATAAACTAAATTCATTATTTTTGCAGACTTTAATCAAGCATTCCATTATAAATAGTCTGCAAATCACTTCAGCAGGCTCAGTAGCAGTTAGTTCATGTCAGGGATTATTTATTAGGCATCTGCTTTCCTCCAAAATGGAAATCTCACATAAGGAACAGCTAAAGATTGGTTGAAACCAGTTTGTTCCAGTTCTACAGCAGATGTCAGTTGGGGGATGAGGGGAGACAAAGAATGTAGAGAGCCTTCTGATATATTTTTCTCGGCTCATATTGCAACATGAGCCTAAAATATGAGCTCTGAATTATACCAGTCATGATCTGTAGTGGAATGAGGCAAGGCTGAGAAGAAGAATGAATGTTAGCTGAGAGAACATTTATAAGATATATGTGTTATACAGTATTGATTTCACATTCTTAGCCAGAATGTTAAGCAATATGTGCTTCAAATGTTCATTTTGGCTGAAAAGTTAGCTACACAAGAGAATTAACCAAATATATTGTTGGTTTAATAACTTATTACATAATAAAGAAGACACGAAAATTTCACAAGGGTGCATTGTAATTTTTGCAAATAAACTTTGAAAAGTACTTACTAGAAAACTCTGCCTAATATCAACTTGATACATAAGCCAAACAAAGATACCCACACTACAAAAATATAATTAAATTAACTATGTCTGTGATACTTCATCCATATGATACAGAGCCAATAGTTATGGATAATGAGTGCCTAGAAGATTGTGGCCTAAGTAAGAGGTCTAATTGCCAAAAGAGCTGCCTTTCCATTCCATAATCTTGGATCACTCCCAGACAAATATACCCATACCGTGTAACAAACGAGGTAAGGATCCTATTAGTAAGAGAGCTTGTGATTTTGTAACTGAATGCTGTCCCATAATTCATGCCTGAAAGCCATGAACTGACAGTCCAAAGGCAATCAGATATTGATGCCTCTTATCTGCTAAGTGCTTGACATTGTGGTCTAAGTAAAAGTCTTTTAATTTGTTTTCCCTATTTTTGTGGTTGTTCGCTTTCTACAAAGCATATTGAACTCTTCTAGTCCTCTTTCTCTCCCAGGTGTCATTATGTGGCACTCATGAGCAGGCTTAGAACCTCAAGGTGAACTTTTTCAGATGCCTGCTATTTTAGCTAGGCTTATAGCAATTGCAGGCGATCACCTATGTAGGGAAGGCATATGTTGAGAAAGCACACTTTTCAATGGGTTTCCCAATTAGTCTTTACTGAAAGCCTGGAATGATCTAACACAGAGCTGTATACATCCCAGGCTCGGAAAGAAAGGTCACCCAGTAAGGTTCATCCTCTCCGAAGTCAGCCCTTTTATCCCACTACCTCCAAATTGCTCTCTATCCCAGTCTTCTCTCTTCTCCATTCCTATTTGTCCTATACCTGCTGTTTTTCATTGTCTCAAACACTGCTCTTCTTCTTCCAGTCCTTACATCCTTCTTCAGCTCTTTTGTCTCTGTGTGCAAGCCAGTCTCCCTCATTTGTGAAATCCTGTTCCACCTGCCTTCTCTTCCTTCCAGTCTACTCACATCTACCTCTCCCTTGCTACTCCGCCAGTCTTTCATGCTCAGACAGCTCAGGCAGCCTCAGTTTTTCAGTCTCAGTTTCATACACAACCATTCCTCAAGTAGCCTTCCTACTCTTTTTGTCCAGCTCCATTTCAATTAATGAAACATTTCAGATGATACCCTTTCCACCATCCCTCTCTGTGGTGTCATCCCCACTGTTGCCATCCCCACAGCACCTCCTGGTTTGAGCTTCCTTATTCAGCAAGTCCTCTAAGCACATACGTGTTCCATTTGCTGCCAATGCTCCCAACCACCTCCAGGAACCTTTCCCAAGCATTTTACTCTCCCAGTCTATTCCCTTCCCAGTCCAACTCACTCATAATTCCAATTTTCAGCCATCATTATTCTACCCACCAACAAGAGTCCCTGTCTCACTCAACTTCTTCATTTTATCTGCTTTGCACTAGAAGTAGATGCTTTTATGTTTTCCACTGCACGGATGTAGAAAGGAATTATAAAGACATATGCTTGCTCCCAGTTCACTTGTCCTGTCTGAATAAGAAGAGAGAGTCCTCTTGAGCCATCATAGCTTCCTACTCGAGCCTGATTATTCACCAAGATGGGATGTATGAAAGACTCATGCCCTAGAAATACAGATACGATTCAGTTTGAGACAGACAGAGTCTACAAAAATTTAATCCAAATGGTAAATATTCAGCATGTTTTCAAACAGTGGAAAACAGAAAGTCTTCTACTAGGAAGTAAAAGGCATGCTTCATGTAGGAGGTGCCAACTGTTTCACCAATAATATGTTTTTCGGTAACTTGTATAAAGCAGCATAAAAATAAGCGCAGTTTAGATTGAATACACGTCTTTAGGTATATCAACTTGTTTAGGAAAACAAAGACAAATCCAAAGGACTCTTGCCCAAAAGCTCTTTGAAGCAGACACATCAGTTTGGCTTCTTTAACACAATAAAAAAAATAAAAATTGCATGTGTAAATACAAGCTCCTTTGAGTTAGGAAATTTTTATTACATGAAAAAAGGTATTGTTAAGCCAAGTGCATGTTTAAAATACTATTCAAAGGCCAACAAAAATCTTCTGTTTCAAGGATATGGGGTTAGAGTTAAATCTGAGAGAAAGATAATACTGAAATAGGCAGGGTTATCTTACCTGCTGCAAATCCTTAGTCTCTTTGAAAAAACAATGAAGACATTCCCACTTCATTTGTACATCCCATGTCCCTTCCTAAGTAGCTTTCATAAGATTTTAGAGGACAATATAGGCAGTAGCCTCTCTTCTACACAACTTACTGTAGACCAGTAAAGGTCTCTTCTGCTACTGACATCTAACAAGACAGTCTGACTAGTAACTGCTGGAGACAAACCAGAAATAAATACTTGTAATGCCTACTCAAGGACGATTAACATAAGAGCTAAATTTTCACAATACTGTAAAGTAATATGGTCCAAATACATTTTACCACAAACCAAGTGAATGTTCAAAAATACGTATTACTTACTCCTGTAATCCACACACTACAGTACAGATGGTCCATGTCAGCCACTTTGTAAATCTGAAGAGTATATAAATGCTTATGGTAAATCCTACCTGCAGTATTCACAATTCTCTTTGCTCGAATTATTCCAAGTGGAGTTTCAACTTCCCATGTCCCATCTGATCGGGATTTCAGATTAGTTACTTGGACGGGGTAATTTAATTGGGCACCATATTTTCTGGCTCCTGCCGCCAAGGCCATAGTGAGAGAATAGGGATCAATATGACCATCTCCAGGGTTATACAGGCCAGCTAAAACCTAAGTGGAGGTAAAATCCCACAAAATTAAAGAAATTAAAATTTATCCAAATTAGCCAGTTTTACAAAAACCACTTTATGTCTTGAATGCAGTAAACCATAAGGAGTCAAATCAAAACAAATTTTCAGAACATACAATTATAACAACAGGGCGACAGCTATCCAACTTAACAGTGGTTTAAGGAAGTAAAATGGCTCAGTTCTCCCATGCAATCAAAGATTACAATGCTTTAATATTATAATATTGTATCAATTATAATTAATAATATGCACAGTGGCACACATCATGCACTAAAATGCATGAGTCTGATTTTAGTTTATAACGCATCTTTTTTTCACTGAAAACCAAGAATTCCTTGTACAATTTATATAAAGGAAACAGACCTTATGTCTACCTATCTGATAGACCAATATTTAGTTGCAATGAAGTTATTTTTTGTAACAGGTTATTTACCGTATCCATGTTTAATAAGGGAAATAGCTCTTGTACTTTCTCAGGTGTGATTAGGTACTGCTCTGTTGCGTGCCAACCTGCACGAGTCATTTGGTATTTGAATTCATCCACCCTAGTAGGGGTTGAAGCAATTCTGATACTGCCAGGCTGATGAAACCCCACAGCCTAAAACAAAGAGCAATAGTGAATTACTGAAAGAACCTTTACTTATCTCCATAAATCCACGTTCCTATGCTATGTGAAGTCTACAGGAGTTTTGTCACTGACATCACTGAAAAGAGATTCAAATAAGTTAGGTGCCCTTGAAGGAATAGGACTTAGGTGTAAATTCCTACAGAATTTTTTTTTTTTAAAAAAAGTTATCAAATTAACTTCCCAGCTTAATACATACCATCTTCAAAACAGTTGTAAAAAGCTTTTATTGAATGACATTATACAATTATTTTTATTAAGATTTGATCAATACTTGAATTTATGCACTCACACACTTTGAAAAATAGAACCAGATACATCTCAAAAATAAATATATAAAAGTTTATATTAAAGTATATCACCTCCATAATTTTCTATTGAGTTGCTGCAGAATAAATTTACCTGGCTTTTATTGACACAATGAATAACCACCCACTTTTTTTGTCTTTTTAATAAAGTAGAAATCCCTATATAGATGGACACTGAATGCTCACTTTCTGGTATACACTATTTACTTCACCTTTTCTATGTTACCTGACAGGACATTCATATGGCTGAATAAGTCTTTTAGTGGAACTCATAATGATAATCTGCTGTAGTAGCTTATCTAGCTGAGCAGTAGAAAGAAGAAAAAAACATTTTATTACAATTATCAAGTTTGTAGATGAGCACAGCGAGGATCATGCAATTTCTGATGCAGTCTAAGCAAGCACAAGATTAGTAAATGAAATCTATACATCTGAGTGATGCCAGATAAAAAAGATTACTCCAGTGTTTCTCTGCATACCCATTCCTCAAGTCACTAAATAAAAAAACAGATCTCACTGAAAGGGATGAGAAGAATTGCAGCAATCTTCTCAAGTACAGACAGCATCATATCATATGAATT